ATAATAAATAATAATAATAATAATAATAATATTAATGATAATAATAATAATAATAATAATAATAATAATAATAATAATAATATTAATAATAATAAACTAGGTCCAAACTTTTAATACGAAATGAATTTCTACGAAAATAATATCGTTCGTATCGTCACTAACAAAAAACGAAAGAAAAGAAAAAAAAGGATCTTTCCAATTCATCTCTTTCTCTGTCTCCCGTCTATTTCTATTCGTCACTGTTTGTATCTGTGTAAGCTAAAGAAAATGACGATAATCCTTTAAACAAAACTAGCAATGTCGCAAAATAACGAAAGGATTAAAAGAGATTTCGTGTGCAAAAATTGTGTATTTTATTATTTTATTATTTTATTATTATGTTGTTTATTGAAAAAATAAATGTTGTTACTTTTATTTTCTCTATGCTGTAAACCATGTACGCGAGAATTAATAAGTGTGTGTGTGTGTGAGAGAGAGAGAGAAAGAAAGAGAGAGAGAGAGTGAAAAGGGATGTGGTGAGGGTAAGGAGAAAAGTATTCAATAAAAAATGAAAAGTCATTGGCTTAGTGGTTTTTAAACGTTTGCTCGTACTGTTCGTCGTTTTAAACGATCCTATCTTGGTCGTATCATAAACATAAATATACCACGTACGTACACACGTAAATACATTTGTAAGATCGATGACGAATCGATTTGATATGCGAAAGTGAGATGATATGCGATAGAAATTGTGAAAACTATGCGCCGCCTCTCGTATCTTTTTGCGAACAACAAGTTCGCCATTTTATTACTTTTTTCTTTTTATTTTTTTTGTTAAACTTTCTTTTTTGAATCGATTGAGAAAGAATGTAATTCTTCTCGCAATTTAACGCGTTAAGCGCCAAGTTTCGTTTCTTTTCTTGTACAATACTTTTCGTTTTGGGCCACGATGATTTATCGGTTGTAAAAAAAACTTACGGGTGTCGGTCACCGATGACCCATACGGCTTGGATGGAAAAGATGAAAAGTCTAGTTCGTTGCAATTGGTTGGCGTTCAATGTGTTAACAGTGCATCGTACATATATATATTTATATTTATTATAATGATCTAATAATTATGTATTTATATATATATATAAATATATAAATGCATACAAATAAAAAAAAATTAAAGATCTTAAACGAAAATTGAGATTTAAATAAAAAAGAATCGTATAAAAAAAAAGAAGAAGAGAAAGAGAAAGATAAACAATATATAATATGTAGATAAATTTAGGAGGATTCGAAATTCGCTCTCGTGATGCATTTAGGGTGAAGGAAACAAAAATTTAGGCAAAAGAAAAAAAAAGAAAAGAAGAAAATGATTAGGAATCGGCGAATATTTGTGAAATCGGACAAAATTCCCGACGGATCTGTAGCTCTAAATTAAATTACAATGATGACGACTATAATGATAATGATGATGACCACGATGATGATGATGATGATAATGATGATTATAATGACGATGATGATAATGATGACGATGATGATAATGATTACGATGATAATAATGATTACGATGATGATAATGATTATGATGATGATAATGATTACGATGATGATAATAATGATGATAACAATGATGATGATAATGATTAC